CCCCCCCCGCCGCCCGCTCCTCCAGCTGATGCCAAAGCCCCCTGGGACTGCGGAAAGCATAATGATTGCTCTGTGTGTTTGCTTGACCTCACGCTCAAGTCCTAAAGGGACTATGTTAGATGTCACTGTAATCTGCTCCAAAGCTCATGGACTTAATGTGGTTGATCACAGAAGGCCAGCGGAAGAGTGAGGGCCTGTATGTCCCAGGAAATCCTGCAGGAATGGGATGAGGTCATTATGAGCTGGGCTGGCCCTCTCCCTCCGGCAAGGTCAACACAAGGGCACTGGGAATAAATCCCTCTATTTTCTCCAAAGAAATCAAAGACTGGGATGAAATCCTGTGCCCCTGTTTTCAGAGATCAGTTTGTGTAAGAAACAGCTCCAGGATAACCGGGGAAGAGGGGAGTGGACTTTGGAATGTGGAGAGGAATTTAAGGGCATGATATGATTCTGAATCACATCTGTGGCTATTTGAGCTTGGAATTTCCCTCACTGGAGCATCAAAACCCAATAATCTTCCCTCCTGGCTGCAACGCCTTCCATGTCCACTTGTAAATAAAACACACACACCCCCCACGCAGCTGGCCCTGCCCCAGTCAGCATGCATGGAGAGGATACCTGGGGGAGCATCCCCAAACCATTTCCTGGACCAGCAACAATTATGAAACCATCTCCCGCTCACATAACTTGCACAAGATGTGGCTGGTCCTAACCACAACCAGCCTGGTGGAAGGACGATAAAGGAAACATTAAATGAAAACATGTCTGGGGATCTTAAAAGGGGTTCAGCTGCAGGGGTAGAGCGGGAAGGCACCAAAGCCACAGTAGCCGCTGCCAGTTTGCTGAGGCTCTTTCATTATTAGCTGGGGAACAGAGAGGCAGCTGCACTCATGGGCATTTCAACAAGTGGGAAAGCATAATGACTTTGCAGAGAACTGCATACGTTAGGAAGCAAGCATCTTTGGAGACAGGCACATTTCTGCCCCAAGATCGGCCCCTCCCTTCACATCCGCGGTGGGCTGTGATGACCCGTGGAATTCCATCTCAGAAAATGAGCACGCAGCGCACACCCACCCCTCCTCTGGGGCCGTCACCTATGTTAGTCATTTCTCCGTGGTTCGGTCCCTTTAAAGGTTCAGAGGTATCTTCCCTGTGATTCTTCTCACTTGGAATCCCATTGGGATGAAGGTCAACCTTCCAAAAGCCTCCTGAGATGACTGGTGAGATTTCTATTGCGATTCTGCTGACTCTGAGATTCACATTCGTGGGCTCAGCCGCTGAATGCAGCCCCAGCTCCAAGCCCTTTGAAGCTCATCATTTATCAGCGAAGTCCACGGATTGGAGTGACTCCAGAAGGAAAATACGGTGCTGTCTTCAGAACAAGAAGCAGAACCACAACCACACTGTAACCTTGGGGAACAAATGATTAACTGTTTCAACCCAGAAGCACACAAATAAAAAAGTACACTTCTTGAAACCAAGCCTAATGCCTGTAATTCTTTTTCTCCCAGACGCTTTCTCGGCAAGGAATTCGGCATGGCATAGCAGTGAAGGAACAGCTTGGGGAGTGCCAAGCCGTTCATTCCTCATCCAGACCTAAGTCCCTTTGTTTTGTTCAGAAATTTTCGGAGTACAAACCCTTTCTGATGAGCCAGGACAGGGAGGGAATTTTGCCTATAACAACGGAGCAGTCTGGATTCCGCACGTTTACTACGTTAATTAGCTGCCTGAAAACTGCACACGAACACTTCCACCTCAAGTGGTCCTCAAGGAAACATTCAGTTTGGAATCTGTGCAAGACCAGCAGATCCATCACATTTCTTTCACAGGATGCAGGTTGCATCCCTGCTTCTTCAGAAGGCTGCTCCAGGATAGAGATGAGAGCAGGTGACAAAGACAGGCGGCCAGGGGCCACGGCAGGCCCTTCCCACAGAATGAAATCCAAGTGGACGGAACATCACACATTGTTCTAATTCTTAAAAATAAAGTTCTTAAGGGCCCCAAAGAAGTTTGAGTTTCAGGTCTTTCCTGCCGTAGCAATAGTCCTTCCCAAAGCATAGCCTCTGACACCCCAACTCAACACAGACAGACATTTAATACAATTTATAAGGAGACATTCTTTCCACTTGTGGTTCCTACCCTTCCCCCCAAAGGGTTAGGTTACACTGGTAGTTTCATCCAAAAACCACCCCCAGTAACAGACTGGACCAAGAAACAGAAAAGGTACCGTAGTTGGAGAGGCTGTAAAATTCCTCCAGACTTATACAGTGGAAGCTTGCTTCTTGCTTGGTTTCCCTGAACGGCGGAGCAGATTCTCGAAAAAGGAGCCTAGCACATCCAGTGGATCTTTCCAGATGCTAGCTGAAAGCTAGCAAAAAAAAAAAAAGAGAGAGAGAGAGAGAGACAGCAAAAAAAGCCCTAATGGGACTAAAGGACACTGCAAGCACTTTGGAGCTGCCAAGGCTTTTCAATAACAGCACTGAAGGAATGTAAACGAAGCTGGTCGCTGCGGGTCCGGCTAAAAGACAAAGGCAGGAAGTGAATATTCCTGACTCTCCCCCAACACCGGGCTCGGCCACTTTGGAGGGAGGCTCGCAGTGGCTTCCATGTGGCCCCAAAAGCGAGTGCTGAGGTGAAGTCTGTCCTGAGATTTCAGCATCCAGGACTCACTGAGTCGTCCGGCTGGGCGCCAGGCTGCATGGACTGCCGCTAAGCAGGATGGCTCCCGGCCGGCTTTCCAGCCCATTCCACTGGGAGCTCTGGGGCACCGCCACCTGGCCCTGGGCTGTGGGCTGGCCGACGGGGCTGGAACACCCAGAGCCTGGTTTTCAGTTCACTGAGCCACGGAGCTAAGTCACTGGCAAAATTCCAGCTGTTGCTCGAAATTCCAGCTTGCCAAATCTGGGCAAGATAGGTTACATCTGGGAGGGACCTCGCCCTCCCCCTGCCCACCCGGATTTATTTAGTCAGCCTATACCCTTCCCATTCCATTCGCCTCAGGTCACAGGTGCAAACCCACAAAGCAGCAGCAGTAACACTGACATTGGCAACCACGACCCCCAAGTCTGATTTAAAAGAGACTCGGCTTGTTCAAGTCATGGGGGTTCTCATCACCTGCTGCTGTGAAAGTCGGCCACAGAAGCTTTCTAATCACTCCGTTCTCCCTTCTTCTTTCTAGCAGCTGAATAAGGCGAGGCAAAGCGGACTTCACTTCTTGGTAAACAAGAGCTCATAATCATTTTACAGCCAAACTGACGGAAGTAAAAGAAAGTGACTCACCCCTGGGGACCTGTCAGGTCGAGGCCAGTCCTGAGACAGGCAGGTCACCTTTTTGCCTGGTTCCTTGAGTGGCTCCGAGGATGGCAGGTCCTCCCTCTTTTGAATGCTTTTCGTCTTTACTAAGAGGTAAAAGCCAGTGGGGCGGTTCTGTGTCTGGATCCAGGCAAGGTCTCTGAATATTTCCATAATTATCTTTGTATGTCACGGATTTTACAAGTTGAACAGAAAATCTCTATTCCAGCCTCTGCCTTGACAATTCAAGTTATGTAAATTTAAAATTTGTTCTTTGAGCATCTTGTATCACTGCCCAGCACCGATTATCTCTCGATCATTAAACTTTTTAAAGTATTTTTAAGATCATAAACATTTTTCATTGAAAAGAGAACTAATTTGTGGGAAGTAAGAAATCAGAAGCAAAGAACTGTATTCCCAGGCCCCTTCCTCGATAACTGCTTTTTTTTTTTTTTTTTTTTTTTTTTTTTTTTTTTTTTTTTTTGAGCACAGGCTCCGGACGCGCAGGCTCAGCGGCCATGGCTCACAGGCCCAGCCGCTCCGCGGCACGTGGGATCTTCCCAGACCGGGGCACGAACCCGTGTCCCCTGCATCGGCAGGCGGACTCTCAACCACTGCGCCACCAGCGAAGCCCTTGGGCAAAGCTGGCAGTTGGAAATCAGGGCACCATGCGTGGAAATGCCAAACACACAAGGGATAAGGGAAGGTCTTGACAGTGTCTGCTACACCTGGCGGCTCAAAAATATCAGGACATTTTGCCTAAAATGTGGGTGTCTAGCTTCTCTGTCACAGTGAGCTGTCATCCTAGAATGGCGATGGCTGGCTGGCTTGGAGGGTTCTCTCTGGTTGGGATGTGAGCTCCTCCAGTTCAACAGTGCCCACAGGTTTGCTCTCTGTACCCAGACACCCTGCCTGACCTACCACACCCCTCGTAAAGCACCTGCCATGCCCAGCTCCTGCCTGACGTGCAGAGGGCGGTGATTCTGCCCATTCGGTTCTCTCAGCTGACTGGATGACCCAGTGATGTCATATGACCCAGGCTAGTAATTCACTGGCTGTTCTCAGATGAGGGAGAACCTTCTGAGCTGAGTCACAGGGTACGTGCTTACCCATGAAACCTGGATTGTGAGCCACATGCCAGCTTAATTAATGAGGAGCAGATACCTTGAGTGAGTGGATATGAGAAGCCTTTGGACCACGGGGGTGGGGGCGATGGGGGAGGGGAGAGTCTTGAATCTCAGCCTCAGGCTGATGGCTTTGTACTTCCCAGCAGGCCTGGCAGTGCCAGGGTCCAGGGCATCTTGTATCCTGACAATAAGGGTCCCCTCTTCTTGAGCAGGTGGATAGATGTATATTCCCTTCCATCAGATATGCTTTGACCAGAAGAGCTTCAGAAAGATGACCATGAGTTCTGCAAAGCAAGTAGAACTTCCAGCTGTTTATCATTGTCTTATCAAATATTTAATTCAAAGATCTTGGGGGAACCCT